TTTTTTAAGTCTTAGTACTTTGCCTTCATTGCCTTTGTTGATGAAGCCTTGTGGTTGTTCAACATAAATCTCTTCTTCTAGCACTCCATTTAGAAAGGCTGATTTGACATCTAATTGATAGATGTTCCATCCTTTTTGTGTTGCAATAGCTATTAAAATTCTAATTGTATCTAAGCGAGCAACTAGAGAAAATGTCTCATTGTAGTCGATTCCTAGTTGCTGTGTGTAGCCTTTGGCAACCAATATTGCCTTATGCTTTTGTATAGTTCCATCAGGATTGAGCTTTGTCTTTTCCATGAGGTCAATTTACGAGTTCTCAAGTGTTATTTTTCTCAATCATTTTAATCTCTTCTTCCATAGCCTTGACCCATACTTCTTGCTTCGATGCTTCTTTATAATAGTTAGGCTCAATCATGACCATATTTCAAGTTTCATATATGTCTACCAAAGATCTTACTCTTCTTGGACTAGATTCAGGTGAAGAATCTTGTTGTTGTGGAGGTGGAGAAAGCGTACTTGAGTTTTCTTCCTCTTCTTGAGTTTCTTCTTGAGATTGTTGCACTAGAAGTAAAATGTTGCTTTTAACAACTTTTTCTTCTTCCCAATTCCAAGAAGCATTTTCATCAACTTCAACATCTCGACTGATGATGAGTTGTTTTGTTTCTAAGTTGTATTCTCGATAGCCTTTTGATTGTGTGTTATATCCCACAAATATTTCTCGTATATTCTTCTCTTCAAGCTTGTGCCTCTTTTGATCAAGAGCATGTATGTAGCAGATAGATCGAAATACTCGTGGTGTTTAGTTGATGGATTTCTTCCACTCCTAGCTTCAATAGGAGTCTTGTCTTGGACTGCCTTAGTTGGACATCTGTTTAGAATGTCAACTACAGTGTAGACTGCTTCAGCCCAAAAAGTGTTAGACATACTTTTCTCTTTCAGCATTGATCTTGCCATCTCCATAACTGTGCGATTCTTTCTCTCTAACACTATATTTTATTGTGGAGTATATGCGACTGTAAGTTGTCGCTCTATGCCTTAATCTTCACAGAATTTGTCAAACTCGCGAGATGTGTACTCCTTGCCACGATCACTTCTAAGTACTTTTATCTGTTTTCCACTTTGCTTCTCAACAAGGGCCTTGAATTTCTTGAATACTCCGAAGACTTCTGACTTTACTTTTAAGAAGTAGACCCATGTCATTCTAGAGAAGTCATCAATGAAGAAGATGAAATACCTGTTGTTGTGATGTGAAGGAGTTCTCATTGATCCATAAACATCGGTATGAATAAACTCCAATAAGTCTTTTGCTCTCCATGCTTTGTTTGTCGAGAATGGTAATCGGTGTAATATTCCGAGGAGACATCCTTCACATGATTCAATATTCTTAAAGCATGGAATATCTCTCATCATGTTTTTCTAATATAAATTTTTTAAGGCATGTGTGTTGAAGTGGCCAAATCTCCTATGCCAAAGCCATGAGTCATCAACTTCTACCTTCATGGCAATATTAGTTCCAGGTTTGAAGCTTATAGGAAAGCTTTGATTTCTCTTCTCCATTTTTACTTGGTCAATTTCTATCATTTTACTGTCATAAATTTTGCATGTATCTTTCTCAAAATGAATAGAATATCCATTCTACATCATTTGGCCAATAATTAAAAGATTCTCTTTAAGATTGGGAACTAGTAAAACATCCTTGATGAATTTCATACCTTTCTTTGTCTCCACCATGACAGATCCTTTGTCTCGAGACTCCACTATGGTGCCATTTCCTAGCCGAACTTTGACATTAACAGATTTATCAATGTCTTTGAAGATACTTTGATCTTTCGCCATGTGATTACTGCATCCACTATCCAAGTACCAACTCCCTTCTCCATTAGGAGTTCTTGATTGGCAAAGAATGAGAGTTTCTCCTGATTATCTTCTTCCACAAAGTTTGCTTGATGTTTACTTTTATTACGACAATACTTCTCTACGTGACCAAATTTCTTACAAAGCTGGCATTGTGGTTTTCCACGATCCAACAATCTTTTTCCAAGTGACTTGTCTTTTTACAGATGCCACATGGAGGATATTTTCCTTGACGAGTCATAGAGAACTTTCTAGAATTTTCTTTATTTCTAGAAATTTCTCCTCTACTTTTGTTTACTTCATATTCTTTATTCTGAGACCACAATTTTAGTTTTGATTGAAAGGCATTTTCAACTGAATCTTCTTTATGCCTTTTCAATCTTTGTTCATAAGCTTCAAGAGAGCCCATTAGTTGTATTACTGACAATGTAGCCAAATCTTTTGTTTGTTCAATCGCTGTTGCAATTGCATCATACTTTTGGGGAATAGAAATTACAATTTTCTCAAAAATCTTTTTGTCAATAATATTCTCCCCATAGGCTCTCACCTGACTAACTATTTCTTTTATTCTAGAATAGTACTCTTTGATGGTCTCAGATTCTTTCATTCTTATTAATTCAAACTCTCGTCTTAGAGAATGAAGTTTAACATTTCGTACCTCATCACTTCCTTGAAACTCCTCTTCTATTATGTTCCAAGCTTGTTTTGCAATTGTGGCACCAATTATCCTTGGAAAAATTGTGTCATCGAGTGCTTGTTGAAGAACAAATAAAGTCCTTGAATCCTTCTGCTTGTTTTCCTTCAACTCTTTCTTTTGAGCTATAGTAAGAGTGGAGGTGTCTTTTGGAATAGTGAATCCTTCTTCTATGATGTCCCATAAATATTGAGAGCGGAAGAATGTCTTCATTTTGACACTCCAAAAATCATAATTTTCTCCTGTGAAAATAGGTACTGGAATTGATGATGTTTGATTGGTAGTAGCCATCAAGTGAGAAAATATCTTGAAGGTAGTATAAAATGGAGTTATAGTTTTGTTTAATGTAGTTGAAAATTTTTATCTACGCCCAATAAATGACCGAACGAAGCTCTGGTACCACTATTAGTATTTTAAGGTTGTGAAAGGAATAGTTGATGGGATAGAGAAAATGTAGAGATAGTTGAATGTAGAGAAAATATGGAAATAGTAGAATGTGAAAGTAGTAGTTGGAAGAAGTGTTGTAGTTGTCTTTAGTTGCAGTAGATGTTGGCTTCTTTCAAATGGTAGATGTTGTCTACATGCATCAAATGGTAGAGTTCATGGGTATTAATAGACCCATAGATTATTCTAGAACATACTAGCCACAACTTATGTGGAATGTTCTAGATTTTTACTTATGTGGAATATTCTTGATTTTTCTTCCTATCTTAGGCTTTTCTTCAATATTTTAGAACTTGTATTACATTTTAGTACTTTTAGGACTTTCTATATTCTTCTACAATTTGCATTATACTTTAATACTTTCAGACAATAATTTTTTTGGAGGAATTCCCCATTGCTTGAGCAAAATGCCTTTTGATATTGAGAACCTTGATTCATCATTAAAAGTATTTGATGGAAGCTTCTTTGGTGGAGGAATTAGAGGAAATTCATCATTCAACGAGCAAAAGAAACAGAAAGCAAGTTTCACTTCAAAGAAAAGAATTGATACTTACTTGGGAAACATCCTTACTGATATGTCTGGAATTGACTTATCAAAGAATAAACTAAAGGGAAATATCCCATACGATCTTGGAAAATTGACAAGAATCAAAGCATTGAACTTGTCTCATAATGATTTGAGTGGACAAATTTCAGATTCATTCTCGAATTTGGTGCAAATAGAGAGTTTAGATCTTTCTTCTAACAAGTTGGATGGTCAAATTCCTCCTAAGCTCAACATCCTAACCTCACTTGAAGTGTTAAGTGTGGCACACAACTGTTAGGAATCCAAGTGTGAGTCCAAGTCTCACATTGGATATAAATGAGAAAGTAGAGCAGTATATAAAGATGAAAGACCCATCAACCCATTGCCTTAAGGTTTTGGGTAAAGAGTGGTGTCGATCCCTTATATAGTTGGCTCAGATGTTATTGGTGTTTGTGTAACCCATAGGGAACCTTCTCCTCGATAGATCCACAACAACAACTTATCAGACTCAATACCTGAAGGGACAAACCAATTTGCCACATTTGATGAAAGCAGCTATGAAGGTAACCCATTCCTTTGTGGACCTTTACTACAAAAGAGTTGCAATCTAGCTTCAACAATGATTTCAAATGACTCAAAATACTGCCAAAGATAATGGTAGTTTTGTGGACATGTACTATGTCTTTTGTGTGAGCTTTGTTGTATCCATTTCGATGTTTCCTTTGAAGAGTGACTTCATAAAAAAATGTCACACATGAGTGGCTTGATGTAATAGGATGAAATCTAAATTTCTATATTCAAAAAATTGTTCTTCAATATCTAATTACGTTTTATTTTAATAACTTTTTTAAATTTTCATTATAATGTCATGATAGAATCAAGATAATTATTTTTTTTCATCATTGATAATGTTTAGGATATTTTTAGTATTTTTATAAAACAGAGTTAACTTAGTTGAGTTGAAAATGTTATCAAATTTGTAGTCTATATAAAATCATGATACTTTCAGTTTAGACTTTAAAACCATTTTTTGTATCTATTTTAGAATATGTAGATCTATTTTAGAATCTAAAATAACAAAAGTTATCTCTCGGTTATGATCAATTCTTCTCAATCTTCGATTAAGATTGATTAATTTCCACCTTGGATCAACACTAATTAGTCCTAACCTTTGTCTAGGATTCACCCAGACCTTATGCCAAGACTTAGCTCAATATTTTGTCCTAGTTGACTTGATTAAACTTTTTGACTTACTAATTTAGCTAAACTTTCAAAGTTAAAGGTTGAACCAATTTAATCTAAGACGAAAGTGAACAGTGTCGACTATAATTAAAGGTCTATCTATACAAGTGAGTTTGGATCAGGTCAAGACGAGTTGGTGCAGATCGAAGGTCGAACCAAATAAGTCCAATTCAATGATGAAACGAAATATTTTTAAAATAGAATTTTACCTTAAAAGAAAAATTAATTTACTTTATGGATAAATAAGAAAGTTAAACTTCTAAATATTTGAATTACTCCATCCAAACCAAATTATTTAATAAATAAAGAGAATTCAACTATAAATAATTTAAATATAACTATTTAATAAATAAAGAGAATTCAACTATAAATAATTTAAATATAATGTATTTCAATTTTTTGGAATTTTTAAAATTTCTTATTCCAACACGGGGTAAACCAAATCAGATTCTTATGGCACAAATTTAAAATCACTACATCAACCCAATGAAGTAAAAATTTAAAGGGTTAACTTATTTGTTAGTATCCATGTTATATAACTTACTTTTCACTTGGATGATTACCGAAAATATTTGGAAGATGTGTGATGAATGAGCTAGAGTTTACACAGCCCATCACAAGCTTTCAAGGAATCACTTTTACTAATTTAGATTACTTAATTTAAGTAATAAAGGTAAAATTATGTGAAAAAAATACGTGGATCCCAGTCATATGAACTCGTATGAATAATATAAAATTAAAAGTTTCAATAGCAAAATTTTCTTTTTTCTTGGTGTTTTAAGCCAATTTACGTGCATAAAGTCTATATGTCGCTAGATTTTGGTAGAGGTGGTTTGGAAGGCTGTCGGATAACAGAGCTCATGGCTGTTAACAAAGGTAGCATATCGCGGTAGGATATATATATATGCTTTTTGGAGTGTATTTGGAGCATGATTGTGGGTAACAGATGAAAATATGTTCAACTAAACTTTATGCAACATAGCATTAATGATAGAAAGATTTATCTTACAGAAATCAACATCGTCAAAATTTTTTACTTTAGACAACGTTAAACTAGGTCTCAGGTATGAAAGTGTTGTCTTTACAATGTGGCTTATTCACTTAAAAAACGTGACCAAAACTAAACTAAAAATATTAAGGTTTCGCAACCCCTCCTCACCCATTTGCGGGAAAAAGAAAAAAAATTCATATCCCGTAAAACTTGTTAAGACTTGACCTCTATCTCGACATCGTTTGCACTGTTCGGTCTTGTTGCATCTCCTCTCAACATTGTTTGGCCTCCTTCTCTCGCACCTACTCTCACTCTACATATTTGAATCTCAAGAATGGATTGCTTTTTGAAACAGCGCGTTATTGTTTTCGTCTCAACAAAGGTCTTGTTCTTGCATTTTGATCAAAGGTTAGTATATTAAATTATGTAATTTAGGGTTTTGCTTTTGTTTTGGTTAATTTGTTTGAAAATTCGGTTATATTGTTTTATTTCGTTACGTTTCCTTTTTGTGTTTATAATCTAGGATTTGTTTTCTATTTCCCTCCTTGAGTTTCAATCGATGCTAGCACTGAAATCTACATTTGAGCCGAGGATTTAAATTGTTGTCCCTGTTTATCGCAATCCTTGATTTTGTGAAAAATTGTGGACAAATGCAGCCAATGTCACCGATGAAGTCCCTAAAATGTTAACATTGGAGCTGCAATTTTTGTTTGTGAAGTACTTTGGGAAGAACAAAATATATTGCACTTCTTTTTCTGGTAGTTGGTATAGGTGATTTTCTGAAGTTGAAAAACAATGAATTACTTGAATATGAAAGCTGAACTTGTAAGTATTACGAGGTTTCTTTTTTGTGTAGAAAGGTTGAGATGCACAATCACTTAAATTGGAATTTAGATGATAATAAAATTAATCGAAAACTCTTTCTCTTCCTTTGCTAAATGTATCTTCATATTTTTTTTTCTCATTATTTTTATGTTTGTCTTTGGTCCAGGCTTGAGAAAGAATCTTGGTTTTTCTTCAATATGAAGTACTTTGAGGAAAAAGTACAGGCTGGTGAGTGAGAAGAAGTTGAGAATTACTTAAATGGGTTTACTAACGTTAACGAGAATAGATACTCCATGAAAATATATCTTTGAAATCAGGAAGGAAAACTATCTGGAAGCCCTTGATAGGTAGCTATTAATTGGAATTACTTAGGGATTTTCTGATGATGGTGGTACTTCACATGTTTTCCCTTTGGTGCGGTTAAATTAGGCAAGACAATGAAAAAGCTGTGTAGATATTAGTGGGTGATTTAAAAGTTTTCTCCACTTTCAATGAGAAACTATACGAAGAGATCACCCAGCTTTTAACTCCTAGTAATTTCAAGTATTATCTTATCTTGAACAAGACTAATATATATACAACATGTTTTTTGGAACCTTTTAAAGTGATTTCAGTTAAATGTCGATATTCTGGAATCTTGATTAACACTCGTGATACAATAGAGGGATGGAGTTTTTGTGAAGAACTAAGCTCGTGGTGTATGATAC